TTCTACTTTAATGGAGCTGTGCCGCATCAAAATAAACAACACCTTCCCATCCAAAACAAAAAGCCACGGAGACATATCCATTAATACAGTAAAAGCCGCCGTGACAGTGGCAAAAAAAAGTCTAAAGTCAAAAAAGTCTGTTTCTCCTGGTCAAATCCAACCGATTTATTTTTGTATCATTCAATCTTGGCACAATGTCCAAACTTTATTTTCGAATCCCTTGAGAGAGCACATTTTATCTCACTCATCCCAACGTATCACTTGTGCTCAGCAGTTGTAGATGAAACCTATTTTCGCTTTTCACTACGTATCTCTAGTCGTATATTTTCACAAGAATATCCGAATACATGTGCGGATAAATTTTTCAACCCACACGTCTCATTTAACGTTCTATTGAACGCACGGAACTTCATTTCATTTTTTATGTTTTTTGTTTCTGTCGTTTTCTTTTTTTGCCAGCGTGTTTGTGGCTTCTGGACTGCCGATAATGTATGATGTAGGGAGTCGAGTAAATGAAATGTATCGCTTTTCCCCTGCCATATAAGAATATGGAATCAGTGGCAATCGACGGGAAATAATACTTCATCTTTTAAACGATTTTAAGAATAATAATGAACGAGACTAAATGTCAGCTGCTGATGACAGATCAGTAACGATACAAACTGGTTTTTCTATCAAACGACAAGGATAAAAATCGAATTTATTGGTATTCTTCCATTATTCGAAAGAATATATCGATTTTAAAACTTTGCGGAGACATTGAAAAATTAATTTTTTCATTTCTTTCCGACTATTTTTTTTCCATTCTATTCATTTCTTCTCGTTACAATTAGATCATGAAATTCCAAAATATTCTAAACCCGTTCATATTTGAAGAAAAACAAATTTTCTCCAGTTCAATTTTCAGTCTCCAATTGGTGATTTTTGCAATTCATTGCCATTTATGTTTTATTATATATTTATTCTATTCATTCTGTCAAAAGACAAGGATAGAAATCTAACTTATGAGTATTCTTTCATTGATCGAAAAAAAATCTATTCTAAAAGTTTACGGAGACATTGGAAAATTAATTTTTTAGTTCTTTCCGAACGAAAATTTCACCGGTCACCATTCATTCGAAAACACCAGATGGATGCGTAACTTCATCGCACGGGCAACCGAAAGTTGGTTATTTACCGAGAGTGAACGATGGTATTGTTGGCGCAACTTTTCGATCGAATCATTGAGTTAGAACTGACGAAACGAGTTTTCAAGTTTCCGGATTCTTCTCTTTTGTGTACTTCGGAGGGAGTTACGGGGGTGTTGTTTGATGGAAGCTCAGATTATCCTGGTAAATAGCTGTTTATCGCGGATTTCGAGGAGTTCTCCCATCGAGGATTGTATGATATGCCGTAAATATCGTAGTTTATTGCATCAAAATAAATCATCTTTTACAATGGAAGTTCCTAAGCAATTCCTTAATGAAAAATAGGGATTGTACAAAGTATCGGAAAACTAAAGTTAAGCGAGTCCACGCTCATTAACCGGTTCGCATTTCGTAATAACAGAGAAGTAAGAAGGAAAAGTGGCGATGGCAGCCAGAGAAATGTTTTCTTTTAATCAAATAAAAATATTTATTTGAAATTTTTCACTTATTTCAAGAATATTTTCGCTACAAATGAATAAACTCGCTTACTTGTTTCGATGAAACGGATTTAATTATATTAAATAAAAAATTTATTCATTTTAAATAAATAGTTTTCTTATTTCAAGAAAATCACATTTTCATGGATTTTGTGAAAGAATTTCAAAAGTGTGTTTCAACAATATTCGTGGGCTATGTGGAAAAAAGTCGTATGTACCTAATCCAGGAAACATTAAATCTGGACGATTTGAACTCTCTAGAATCATTCTGATCCAATTTTTGATTACAGTTTTCACTCCAGTATATACGACTTTCTTTCACCATAGAACAGAAATTCTCCCCTCCCCCTCTCCCCCTAAATGTCATATGTGATGTATGTACAACCTGTAATAATTACTGCATGTTCCTCGTTCAATATTTTTCGAGTTTATTGCCATTTCAAAGTGATAATAAATTATTAGCATGAAATGAATATTTATTTAGTTCAAAGAATAAATTTATTTTATTCACATAAAGAAATTTTCTTAATACAAGAAAACTGTTTATTTGGTATAAACAGAGATACCCATATCCATAGATTATAATTACCGTTAAATTATTAAAGTCAGTTCGTTAATGTGGCTCTTAAATTTTAATTATTCAAGCAATCATCAATTTAAATATTCAAATTCCGAATTATTTATTAATCAGTAACTTAGGAAGATTGACGATTAATTGGATAATCGAAAATCCCTGATAAGAAATTTAGTATTATTTACTCGATAGAAAATTTACAGCCCCATATTATTAAATATTTAGTTTATCATCAATTGAAAATTTAGATTATCAATTATTTTATTATTTTTAATTGAAGAATTAATATTGAAGAATCGGAAGATTGATGGCCATCCCTGGGTATGAATGAAGAATTTATTCGGATGAGATGAAGATTTATGAATACTACAAAAACATTCATTTAATGTAAACAAAACTTCGAATAAAAACTTTTATTTGATGTAAATAAACTTTATTTGATTTAAATGAATCATTTCTCTGGGTGCACAACTTGAGTCAAGTAACAAGTAACAAAAATTGGCATGTGTTTTGTCTTTTCCCACAATGTGTTTTGGACTGGGGTGAGATATGGGAATTTTAACAAAAAGTTTTCAACAGAGTCGAGTTCTAAAGTGTTACAGGTTGGGCACAGGCTGACTAGGTGAAACTGGTGAACATTGTAGACGTAAATATAGACGTAATTGTTCGAAATTTCAGTCTCAACCGTACATTATTGGCCCTGACTGAATTCATTCTATTCAGGATGAATATAAAGCTAATGAGAATTTTCCTGTTCAGAACTTTTCCCTTCGTGTGTAAAACCAGAAAAAAAAATCAAAGTTTTTTCCATAGGGCCAATCGTGAAAATTATTCTCTCCCGTCAAATGCACTAGGAGAGCTCCCAAAAAGTTTTGATTGCTTACGAAACACCAGGGCATTTCCCATGGCGACTGTCGCACGCTCCAAAAAGTCATCATGGATAGACTCCATCAATTTTCGTCGGAAATAATATTGAGTTATAAAATACTAGCGAACGGACGCTTCGCGCCCGTCCCTAGATTACTTTATGTTATTTGATTTAATTTAATTTTCTTTCCATTTGCGTCTTCACAATTAGATTGATTTAATTTAGAAGACTGAATGAAGAAGAATTATATTAAAGATCAATAAAAAGTGGGCTTTTATGATCTAATTTTAACGAGAAGAAATGAAAACACACAAAAAAACAAAGACGGGAAAAACATAAAAAAAATTTTTTTTCAATGTCCGAAAAGTTTTTAAATCGATATATTTATTCGAATAATGGAACAATACCCATCAATTGGATTTCTATCCTCGTCTTTTGATAGAATGAATAGAATAAATGACGGAAATTGAGAATTGGAGATTAAAAATTTTGTCAGATTATTATTATGTAATAATAATAATGTCAAATGACTAGTATAAAAATAATGAAATTACATTTTTTCTTTCCCATCGCGGAGGAGTAATCTTAATTAATCTCCATATTACGCTGTTACTCATGGAGATGACTCAGGAGTGCATTAATAAAACCGATAAAAAAATTCAGGTAACCATAATAGAATGGAGGCAATTACCCTAGTAATTACTCACGCCTTGGAGTAAGTGTTACTCCCACTCGAGAAACTTGAGAGTTTTGCGACAATCTAATTAATTCTGAGGATCCTATCCTATCGTAAAAAGGGGAAAGGAAATCGATCTCGAAATATCTCGAAAATCTCGAGTAAGCGTAAGCGTAAGACTAAAACCGAAGCGCCACTGCGTGAGGAGATGAGAAGGCGCGTGCGTAGCACGCGCGGCCGATCTCGTTATGATTAAGTGGGAATGCAGTGATGAACCGATCGGAGAATTAGTCGGTCACGCCGATAAGGTCTTCATCGCTCGCGATGGCCAGCAGATTGTGTCCTTTTGCAGATTGAGGGGATCGACTAATTCGACAAATATCCATTTTAATGTGCAATCAGCGGGAAATCGATGCGAAAGATCTTATTTACTAAAGATGAAAGAAACGTGAAGTTGTTTTATATCGAAATATCTCGAAACTGCCTGACCGTTAATCCTCAATTCTGATTGGTCAATGAGTCACGTGAAATAGTCGCTGAAAAAAAACCCCGGTATTTTCAAATTCTTCAAATGCCAAAAATTTTTTCTGCGTCATATTTTTCATTTTTTCATGTGTGAAGTTGATCTTTATATAAAAACATATCTAAATTGCCTAATTGTTGATCATGAGAAAAGAAAATATAGTATTTCTAAATTTTTTTTACTCACAAATTATTCTTCACTTCCCAAATTTTAATTTTTTCATGTTTATCACACGCCAAAATGATCAATTCTTGCTTTTCAGATTTTCATACGTAAATTCTGAACTCTACAAAATTCATGAGAATTCTTTGGTTTCCCAAATAATTCGAGAAAAATCTGTGATCTACGGTTATCTGGAAAACTGAAATTTTCCGAAGAATTCAAGAAATTTTTTCAGTTTTCTAGGAAATCAATTCATAACAATTACAGATTTTAATCAGATTATTTTAAAAAGTAAAAAAAAAAAAAATTTAATCGAAGATTAAAAATTATCCATTGATGCTTCACTCTTCATTCTCTTCATTCTCTTAATTCTCTTTAAGTTATTATCAATATTCATAAAACATCTATGAGTATATGAAGTTTAATAAATTCGAATTCTTCATTGTCACAACAAAAAGATAAGCGCGCGGGAAAGCGCGCGCACGGATCTAGTAATAGAAAAATCACAGGGACTAGTTTACGGTCATTAGAACACTAATTCCGGGGTAATGGGAACCTCGGGAGTAACCCTACCTTGACGGGAATGCAGAAGATGATCAATATGAGATCAGCAGTGGCTAGACCTCCCAGGAATATGTTGGTGGGCGTCGATGGAAGTGGTCTCAGTTTCGGGCAGAGGGTGGAAGTGATAATTACGAGATTTCCTGTAAACAATACATACAAACAACTGGACAATGGCATTTTTTATAAATTAATATAGTAATTGCTGCTAATAAATTAGCAATTTGCTTCCGAATGGATTCTCTTTCTTTCAATTGTTATTTTACTATTCTCTTCTTCTATTTTTTCATATCATAGTACTATCATCAGTTGAAATGTCATCAAAATTTGCGTATTATTTCGTTCTGTCAAATAATTCAGTGGCGAAGCGGTAAACTGAGTTAAGTCGACTTTGAAGAATTGGACTTTATTCGCCAGTTTTTGACGAATATCTCGGAACCTAAAAGAGATAGAAGAATTTTTGTCATAACCTTTTTTGTAGAGCGACTTAAGGGTTTTAAAAAAGGTCATAATAAAAATTTTGCTATCTCTCCCAGATTCCGAGATATTGATCAATAATTGTCCAAAAATAAAAATCAACTTGACCCGGTTTACCGCTTCGCTACTGAATTCTACATTCAGATACTCTCAAGACTCGAATTCGTTTTCAGTCCGGGGAAAGGGAAGTTTAGGCACGCGAAGCGTGCCTAAAAAGTTACTTTTTCGCACAGCGTGATGAAAAAATACAACCATGGCTTACGCTCAATCGCTTTGAGTTAATGGGTCGAGATAACACGAAAAATCCAAAACTCAGATTTGAACGATTACAATGCTTCCATTCGGAAGCAATAAAGCAAAAATTAATCCTCTAAAATCATACATGTATGAAACCATTTCACAGCAAAATTCTGCGAATCCGCTCGGAAATTTCGTTCTGTTAATTCACGTCGAGCAATTTTTAGAGACGTCTCAATAGAAAATTTAATTTCATTGTATCTAAAATGAAATTAACTTGTCTACGAAATGTTTTTGTGCGTGAAAATTGAGGAAAAAAATCCTGAACTTTGACTTGAATTAAAAAAATTGACATTTCTCACCAATCAATCCCAAACTGAAGGTAATGGAGTAAATCACGACGACCGGCGCCAACTCCCCCCAATCGTAATGATTCAACGAGTCATTGATATCGTAATCACCCCAGGGATCCGTGTCATTAGTATCGTTGCTCATGATTTAGTGCCTCCTGCCACCGAATATGAACGTCCGACAAAATCGTGTGCAATCCAAATCCCGACTGACTGATTTCCCTCACTTCTTCGACAGTCGATCGTTCATGGATTTTCCACTTACACCCAGTGTCTCAGAAATCACGCATATCTCCATAATTGGAACCTTGATCGTCATTCACATGTGGCGATCATTTCGATGAAGCTGCGATGGTGATGATTTTTCGGAATTTCTCACGCTCGTCTTCACCATTGCTCAATCAAATCCCAATTTATTTCACAAAAGATTCTTTGTTTCTTCATTGAAAAAAGAATTGGACTTTAATTTTTTCATTTGCATTCTGACTCTCGCAGAGAATTTTAATCAATTTAATCAACTCATTCATAAATTTAAATTCAATTTTTCACGTCGGATTTTGACTTTTGGAAAATTCTAAATGGTTTCAGTAACGGTCATGATGATAAATGTAATTAGATACTGTTGGATGTTGATGATACTGTCATTCTAATTCCAATTTATTTCTCAAAAGATTTTTTTTCTTCATTAAATAAATTAGACTTTAATTTTGTTCGTTTGCGATCTGACTCTCGCAGAGCATTTTAATCAATTTAATCAACTCATTCATAAATTTAAATTCAATTTTTCACGTCGGATTATGACTTTTGGAAAATTCTAAATGGTTTCAGTAGCGGTCATGTTGATAAATGTAATTAGATACTGTTGGGTGTTGATGATACTGTCATTCTAATCCCAATTTATTTCTCAAAAGATTTTTTTTCTTCATTAAATAAATTAGACTTCAATTTTTTTCACTTGCGACCTGACCCGCGCAGAGAATTAAAATCAATTTAATCAACTCATTCACAAATTTAAATTCAATTTTTCGCTTCAGATTTTTCGGTGAATCCCAAACAGTCTTAGTACTAGATAAGTTGATAAATGTAATTAGATACTGTTGGATATTGATAAACCGTCATTCTAATCCCAATTTATTTGACAAAAGATTCTTTGTTTCTTCAT